TTTATTACAAAATTTGTTAATAAATTTCATTATTTTATTATAATTTGATTATCGTATGAAAGATTTTTTAAAAATAGATATTTTTACCGAAATTTTTCCAAAAAATACTTATAATATTATATCTTAGCTACAATATGTGCAAAACACGCATTTTGAACAATATGTCTCTGAGATATTTGAAAAAAAGTTCACGCGGTAATACGGGTGAAGATTAAAAACGCCATCTAGTGCTGCAGTAGGTTAGGTTAGGTTAGGTTAAACCGGCGATCCCACTTAGGGGGATCCACTTAGGCCCATAGGCCCATTGTGATACCGTATTATTTAGAAACCCATGGGCTAAAACCATCCAGAACCCTTAACAAAGCTTACAATGCTACATAGAGGGAGTTCTCGAAGTTCGTCAAGATCCTCAAAAAAGAAAGCCCCCAAAAATTTAAGGCCACGCCGTGCATGTGCCGGACACGAAGAAAGCAGGTGAGAGGCACTTTCGTCATCCTCACCACAACTGCGGCAAAAATGGTTGAACGGTAGATTCAGTCTCCTAGCATGATTACCTAGAATACAATGACCCGTCAGTAAACCCACCACAAGACTGGTATCTCTACGGGATAACTCTAAGAGAGACTTCGATTTTCTCTTATTGGTCTGTGGCCACATTGCATACAGATGCCTGCATATCGCAGAGTCTTCCCATCTTTTGTTAAAAAGTTCGGCACAGGAAGAACTCAAAATCAATTTGCATGAAGTCAACGATATGCCCAGATTGTTTAGGTGTTCCGAGTGGTTCCCTGAAGCACCACGTCTGGCTAGCTCGTCTGCTTTACAATTGCCGTAAATATCCCTATGGCCGGGAACCCAGATTAGAGAAATATTGAACTGCGTCGACATCTCATTTAGAGATGTGTAGCAGTCAAGGACCGTCCTAGATGTGAATTGGACAGAACTCAAGGACTTTAAAGCAGCTTGACTATCCGATAGTATATATATATTCCTTTCAAGTATATTACCTACTTCTAGACAAGCTAAAGCTTCCTTAATGGCAATTACTTTTGCCTGAAAAACACTACAGTGATCCGGAAGCCTATAGCAGGAGGATATATTCAGCCCCTCTGAGAAAACTCCACTGCCTACGGCGCTCCCAATCTTTGAACCATCAGTAAAAATTTGCAGACCCTCACCCAGGGAGGGACCTCCTGACAACCAAGCTTCCCTGGATGGGAATCTAACAATAAATTTTCTATCAAAGTCGAGAATCGGAGAGGTGTAGTGCTGCAGTAGCTTCATTAAAAAAATTTATATTAGCAACAAATAGTTAAATTCAAAATTTCGTATACTTTTTGAACAGTAAATAATATTTATGCAATGTCTTGAATATTAATATCGCCTTAATATAATAGAGGTTTTTATTATCTAGAGTACCCTATTTAGTAATTGAGTGATATGGTAAGATTGCAAATGTACATATTTTATTACTTTATGCGGTTACCCAGCGAGTTCGACTGGACCTTAAATATCTCTATATTTTTTAATAATTTACAAAATTTATAAATCTTTTATGCTTTAACCAGAAAATATTTTTTATTTATCTCAAATGCTTGCCTTTACATTAAGATCTTACACAGTTTTCGAAAAAAGAGGGTACATAGTGATAATGTAAAATAAATTTATTGCAATTTTTTAATACAAAAATAATAATATTTTAAATTAAACCGTATATGAGTATATGAACTTTTGTAGAAAATCTTGTATAAGTAGCTTATAATAACAGGAGTAAAATAAGTCATCAAATAAAATATCTATTTTTATTTTTTTTGTAGAGAAATTCTAAATTTTTATAAATTCAAAATATAGCAATTTAGCTAGGAACTCTCTGTGTGAAATCCAATATACCAGCGGATT